AACTCACTATATTGTAAAACTTACCAGTACTTCCTACTGTCGTCAGGTGTCAAGTTCACCTTCTGCACACCCTACTGGCATGAAGGTCGACTGTGTCAACATCTTGGAGGAGGACACGGGTGGAATTGGTAGAAAACCATCACGCATCACCGGAGCATCTCTGGATCGGTGTGGTGTTGTGGCAGGTTCTAGGATTTGCTTGGACTTGTCTTTGTTTCCTCCTCCCAGCCTGTTTTTGTTCAGGGGAGGTCTGAAAGCTGCACCAGCGCAACTGGGGGGCTGCTGCTGGATGTCTGAAGGCGGTGTAGGGAGGGGTAGGGTGCTTGCGTGTCTTTGTAGAAGATGCCTTTGTTTACTTAATTGGTTTCCATCCCTATCGTTCGAGTTTCTCGATTCCCTATTACTTTGCAAACCACTTCTTTTGTATCTGCTCTTTAGTCTTTTCAAAGCCATCTGCTTACATCTTCAAGGGCTGCTGAAAACATTTAAGCCAAATTTTCACTGAACTCCAGAGCTCCTCAGGCAACTAGGTAATAACGACGGCTTTCTTTTACATGCCAGAGCGGTAGAAGGGAAGTGGGAAGACACATTGATTCGCAGGGGCTGCGTGGGCGAGCTGCTAAGGAGCTGTGTGGACAAGAGACACTGGAGCTATTTATTCCTGTGTCATGCTAAGTTCTCCTCATCTCCACTGTACTGCAAATGTATACGTTTACCCTGGGATGAATAAATTATCTGAGTCACAGTATATTACAATTGAAAGGGGAGTATCTAATTGCTGGAAAGCAGATGGCCTTACCCTTTTGAGTATGCCTGACAAGAACAAAAAAATTAATTGGCCTGCAGCCATATTCCCATAGGCTGCGATCCTGTCAGATTCCATCAGGCAGGGAAATTTGGATATGATGACTGGTCAGTAATAGAATTTTTCAAGGCCAAAAAAGAAAGCAGCTTGTTTGCAGGTTGTTTGTTTGTTTTAAAATCACGTCAGCATACCATAGAAGGAAGATAAAAAAGAATCTCACATTGCCATTGCCTTTGATAGTAATTGATCCAAACCTGCATTATCTCTATCACTTCAACTTTTCTTCTTTCAATTAAAAAAAAATCACAACAAAAATGAATTATTGTTATTGATAAATACCACACTGGCAACTTTAGAAACCAGCAGTCTGTTAATGAGAAACTGGGCTATCCTGGCTTTAGAAAGATAAAGTGTCAAAATACGCAAAATGTTCAAGTATGTTTCTAAGTGTTATACTGATGTATTAACTACTCTGAAAAATCAACATCTCCAAACAAATAGCTTCAGAATATGTTGCTCTCTTTATAGTTACCCTAAATCTTCACAATGACATTGCATGGTATATCAAATGGCCAAATATTACAGAGGTTGAATGATGGCAAATAAAATAATTGAATTTGTAATGTGGAACATAAATGGCTGAAAGTTATGACTACAAAAAAATTGTTGAAACAGAAAAAGCTGACACCAACTTTTTACAAGAAATTCATTTAGGAGAACAAGATGCTATCAGCACAAGGAACACCTTGGATTGGAAGCAGTCAGCAAAAGATCTTTGAACAAAACAAGACAGTTTTTTCAAGAGACTTAGTAACTTATATGTCTGCCAGAAGATTTTAGGACTGTTAAACAGATAAAGAAAGAACAGTCCTGTTTTAGTTAGCATTCCAATAATCCAGATAAAGCATCTTTCCCAGTACATGTTACTATTTAACAGCATGACAAGTGCTTCACTGCTTGTGAATGACCTTCCTGGACTGAATGCAGTATGTAAGAGTTCAAAACAATAAACAAGAAGTGAAATATATTTGGTTAAGTTTCTGACAGAAACTGATCTCTAGGGAAAAATACAAGCATGTTTATGACATGCATCCAACATTTTATTTTGTCGTAACTAACCATTGGAAATGTATTAATTCCTATGTTAAAAAGCTGTATACTCCACTCAACAAATGCATTCAATCTGTGAGCTTTATTCTCTTGCTTTTTGCTCTTCTTTGCATACCTCAAAGTTATCTCCACCTTTAATGAAAATGCTCCTTTCCTCAATCTGATTAGGTGATGTCAACACAGCTAAATGTTCTGCTTGTCAGTACACCATGCAGACTTTTCTCTCTGTCATAGGTAACTCAGGGATACTATCCATTTGTCATATTAATGCAGCATTAGCTGTTTATTAGCTAGCCCTCCCAGATCCTAATGTATGATTAAAGGTAGGGAGTGGGAGAGAAGCGGAAATCTTTGCCAGCGCTCTTAAAGCAAAGGAGTTGTTAATGCTTGTAACTCCTTGAAGTTAACCTAACAGCAGAAAGTGGAAATAGCCCAGACATCCTTGTGCAGTCTTGGGAAACACACAGGAGTACACTGTAGCCTTCTCTGTCAAACGCAGCTTATTTAAACAAGACCACTTAAAAGAAGAAACAATCCTTCAGCCTATTAGTCCTGCTGAAGTCAAATGCTCCCCATCTGGGAAAAAAAAAAAAATTCTACATTATTAATAGCAGCACCAAATTACCTCCAATATAGTCTTTGCACTATTCCAGACTTGATTAAGAGGTCTCCAGAGAGACATTCAGAAATTCCCCCAGGTCAAAGGGCAGAGAGGGCAGCTCTGAGGGAGTCACACCCAGCCCCAGCACCAAAACCAACCCCTCAGTGCAGTGAGGCAGTGCATCCCGCACACCTGTCCTGTGCTCGGTTGTTTCGGTGCCCTTTTTTTGGCAGAAAGCTGCTCCAACACAGCAGGTGATTCATTTTCATGGTGGTTCGGTATCCCTGGCTAACACAAATTGCAGAACCTATACAAGACGACGAGCATAAACCTGAGGCCAGAGACAGGAGAGAGAACGGGAACAGCCAGCAGTAAGCACTGCTGGAGCCAGATTCTGAGATCGCGCCAAAAAACTGCAGACAGAAAAGTAAGTGAAGGTTGGAGTTTTCTTGTGCACCACCTGTTTGCCCACTGAACACTGTTTTTTTTCCCCATCTGATTTTTCCTCGAGTATAATCACATACTATCACAAGGAAATAATGTAGTAAATCCACAGGATGAATAATGTTTTATACTATGGTGGGCATAATACCATGAAATTTTTTGAGGACTAAAGCCCAACAAATATGCATAGATTTCCATTTAACAGTTTTAAAATGTCTTTTCTCATCAATCCATTAGAATTAATGTTTTTATACTTTCCTTCCTGCTATATTTAATAGCTTTTTCCCCTTCCTGTTTAAAATATATAAGTACATATGGATAATAAAAAGAATAATATATTTCTAGAGTAAGCTGTCCTTTTCTTATTCTCTGCATTAGAAGTCAACTTAGCTAAATAATTACACACAGACCCTGCTAGGTTCTGGCATTAGCTGATAGTTTTTGCTAAATAACATAAGATTGTAGTATGTTGTCCTGATAATATGTCACAAGAGATGACATTAATGGGCTACAATGCCCTTCAGATTCATTTTATAAATATTTTTAACAGCAGTGAGGCAATTCTGCTGAGCATTGCCTAATAAAATATTTCATTATTTCAGGATGTTAATGGAATCTTATTAACTGGCCAAGTAAGCAACTTCAGTTTTAAAAAATATCTATCAGAAGCACTTTCAGATTTCATTATCGTTCTCATAAGCATACAAAACAGTGTGTTTTAAGGAGTAGAAGACCTGCTCAGGCTTTTTAAGAATGGTATCTCCAGCTCCAAAGAGCATTATGCCCATATTTAAGCATCCTTAAGTTGCTGAGTCAGCAGCTGAGAAAGTACAAAATCCACCTTCCTTTCTTCCAGGAACATATTTTCTTGAACCTCTTTCCCTCACCTTGTACCCAGCACCACTCCCAACGTGCACCTGTAAACAGTTGGATTAGGTGATCTTTTTTCCTCTACAAGTGGTGATCCCTTGTGAGCTGAAAACCCAACACAAAAACAGCAGTCATGTCCTTGAAAAAATAGTGGGGGAATCTGGAAGAAGAGTCAGATTTGAAGAGCTGTTTTTAGTTTTAAGCAAGGGCACTTCATGTCTCTTAGGTCAATGTGAAAGGAAAAGAAAATTAAGAGGATTGCAGATACTGAAAAGGAAGACAGCTATTTGATGTAGAAAAAGGGTACTAATCCTATCTTTGGAGTCAAATATTTGAATTCCTCTCAAGTTCAAACTGAACAACTGTTTACATGCAAGTATGCAATGCCTGAACTCTAGAGAAGAAAACTCCAGTTGTAGATTTATCAACTTTTGTAAATTCTGTGCAGAGAACATATATCACAGCCTTGCCCACAAGGAGATGTCACTGCACTCGAACATCTAGCAGCGTGAATACAAATATGCAGGTTATCAGTCTGCCACACCATAGCCTGACTTCAGGTTTGTGGTTCAACTAATCACGTACACTGACAGAGGCTCCTAATGAGCTGTTTATACTGAGCACAAACAAATTATTTGGGAGGAAAATTGCAGTGTGTAAGTTCCAGCTGAGGTTCAGACAAATAAGCAATATTTCAGAAAAATCAAGCTTTACTTTGAGTAATGATTAGTTATGCTTACTAATATCATAGCTGCAAATCATCACATCATTTTAATCATCCACATTCATATAATAGCTGCTGCAGACTAAAAAGTTCTTTTGAGTGCTAAGAATAGTAAGTGGGTAAATATAATAAAAATATTTATAAATACTCATTTCAGTAAAAGCAATACATGCATTTCTAAAGTGTTTTATTCATTTCCTGTAAGTAATCATGTTAGCAAAATTTACTTTGTGATAAATCTGACAGGAAAAAAAAAAATCACATCATATGAATACGCATGTAACAAATGCTGGTTATAAAAGTAAACAATTTTTCAAGTCCATTGTGGATTTAAGAGTCATCCTATTTGGGGAAGGTAATAGTACTGTGACTGTTTGCATGGAGTGAAAATGTGAAAAACTGTTCCTGAGAAGGTAAAAATTGAAATATGTTTAAGATTTTTTTTTTTTATCATAAAGTAGCATTCTTTAAAAAAAAAATCAAAACAACATTTTGTGTGGAATTATTAGCTGAAAATCACATTGTCTTTAATGTAAGATTCTCTAAATTTGTCGCCTATCCAGAGAGAGATCTCATCAATTTCTATAAACACCTAAAGGGAGAGCACACACATGACAGAGTTGGGCTCTTTTCAGTGCTGCAGAGTGCTAGAACAGGTGATAATGGGCACAAACTGGGACAAAGGAGATTATTCCTGAAGATCAGGAAGCAATTCTGTGTTGAGCAGGTGCTGGAACACTGGCACAGAGAGATTGTCCAGAAAGGTTGTAGAGTCTCCTCCTTGGAGTTCTTTATAAGCTCTGGATGACTCTGCTTGAACAGGGGTTGGACCTCCAGAAGTGCCTTCCAGCTTCACCCCTATGTAATTCAGTGTTAATTCTCTTAAAGCAACTCTGTTGTTTAGGAATACACTGGGATTAAAAGGAAAAAAAAAAAAGCTGCATCTGCTTTTGATCTAATCGAGCATTATGAATTTTTAACGGGCTACTATTCCCATCCAAGAATTAGCATCACTACACATACCTCTATGCCAAAGCCAGGCTAATGTACTGGCATTTGCTTGTCTAAGAATTGAGGAGACAATGTTTGCCAATTAGCACAGTCTTGCTCTTGGTTAGGTCCTTTCTGAATTAGGCACTCAAAAGGCTATTTGTCTTGTGTGAGTCACAGTTGCATCTCTAGTATGCTCCTGATTCAATATAACTTTCCACATTTATGTATCGCTTTGCCAATACAAGATTCATACTTAAATGGTAAAATAAATCTATATGTAATAGCTTTGCAATTACAGGAGGGAGAAATGTTCTTCTAACGCAGAAATATTATCTTAACAGTTTTCTATGCATTCGTAAACTCCATTCACTAATTAAATTCATTACTTTCTAAACTGAGATGAACAGCTGTTTCACACATAATGTCCTTTTAAGAAAAGAATCTAAAGAATAACATACAGTCATGACTACTGAGATAAGTTTAAATACAAGACTGTAAATCTCTACACTTAACTGAACTTGTCCATGACATATACTTCCCAGGATTCAATCCATAAACAGTCTATTATAAATAATAGATGCTTTGTAGGAGAGATTTCAGCATCAAAAATTCAAGCAGCAGACCAGGAATACATTATTGCCCTCACAGTTTTAATGAGCTCTTTCTATGGAACAAAACACTATTTTAAACTTGAACTTAAATGTTTTTTAACAAGGCTGATATATCTTTCTTCAAAAGCAGAAGCATAAGACAACACGTTTCTACCCGAAAAAAAACCTCAGTAGCAAATAAGAAATATATCTTCATTGTAAGCTTCACTGGTGAGCCATGAAAATGAAAGGTTCAGTGAAATACACCCAGGTCAAGCCCATATATTACCTTTGCAGGACAAAACACGGTGCAAAAATCCTGTACATCAGTTGATCATTTGGAGTAAAGGTTTCAATAGATGAACTCTGATCCAGTGCTACACCGTTCAAAAGCAGACTATCAACTTCGTTTCACTACAATTTCTTTTCGTCAGCACTAGCCATGCCTTTTATTAAGTCTGAAAAATAACATAAAAAACTTCCAATGATACAGCACTTTTAAACATACATTAATATATAAAAAAATCTAACAAACACATTTGTTTTTATATAAAGAAACAAAGCATGCACAGAAAATATATTTCAACAAATGAATTGCAATTAACTTCTGGCTTACATCCTGACAGTTGTTTGAAATATATTACATAAAGCCATATATAGACTATCCTAAGCTACCTGCTTTTGCTTTTATCCGTGTTTATTTGGTACTTACAGCACCCAACAGAAAAACTCAGAAAAACTTCAGATAAACTTGGCACACATTTGTGCTTTTTTTTCACAAGTATCTTAGGAAAAAAAAAAAAAAAAATGAGGCTAGAAAGAGCTTTGAATAATTATAAACTATGGAATAGGGGACAAATAAACAATTAATACTACATCATATATGTTTTACATACCTAGCTACTGCATAAGCATACTGAAGAGGCCCATATCTCTAAAATTAGTTAACTTGAAATATAAAAGAGTAGCTTTACAGATAAAATGGCACAACAATGGAAAACAGTGAAGTCCTTGTAACTCTGTTTCACTGACTTCACAAAAAGTTACTTACATCAGTGAACAAAGTATGTAAGAAATTTCTTTACAATAAATTGGAGCATCAAAATAGAATGGAATATTAGCTTTATTTAAAAATAAACACTTAGATTTTATGATTTGAAAGCACTATATCCACTCACACATACCTTATGATAATGATAAAGAGCATCTTAACAGAATGAAATATTTAATCTCCTCTCACAGTAAACTCAGCAACAAGAATTACCCCTACCTTCATCAGGAAGAAGCCTTGCATACCTTAAGAAACCCTTGCTAGACAGGGTAATCTAATCATCACACCTAAGGTAGTACTCCACATCCAAATGGTCCATAAGAGCAAACGAAGTCCAGCTAGCAGCACACAAGCCCCAAGAAACTGGAGGTAGCAGATCCATATTACCACCAGCTGGACTGAATCACTTCCAGCTGGGCTTGTTAAGGGTACTGTTTTGTAAGTCAATGGGAATGTCTGCAAAGTAACAACAACTTAGACATGTTTTTTTATTATTTTAAGATGATGCACATAAGTACTTAATGCAAGTTAGCACTTAAAAAAAGCACTTAACCTCCCTTTGAAATCGATGGTAGTACATTCTACTTTGACATTTTATTTGAATTCTGGGAGCCAGACTCCCTTTAAAAAATCTGATATTAAATGTAGTTTTAAATATGTGCCGTTCTGCTTATTTGAAAGCCACTCTTGCTCAGGATTCTTTGCATGAAGCAAACTTGCTTTTCCTTGAGAAACTCAACTGTCTGGATTCCTCAGACAAGGTGAATGCAAAAGGCCTTCTCAGCTCAGCGCACCCTAAATTCACACTGAAATTCTCAATAGTAGCCTGGACAGTGGTCACAGAAAGCAAGCAAGAGGAGAGAATAACGGTTCTATGGCTTAGTTGTTTTGGAAGAAAAATAAACACGAGTAACTCTTAATGTATGCATTTCTGTCCTCAGAGATGAACGCATTACTTCAAAAGAAGACAGCTACTCTGGAGACAGAAAAAATTAATCTTGATCTTATTTTGAAACAAGTTCCTTACTGCTCTGTCAGTAGGGGTAAGTAGGCCTTGTATTTGTATCAAGAGGATAGACTGGACACAGAGCTATCAGCTGCCTCAGTCTCCTCCATAGTCAAAGGAGAAATTTCTTTTTTTGTATCCATCAGATTGCTCTGCATACTGTATCTCTTAGACCTCCTTGTCCTGGAAGTAGTCAAAAGGAATTATCTTTTACAATCAAATATCATTTATTTTGTAAACTTACTGATTTTACTGAATTAGCTGTAATGTTTCATAATATCTAGCTGCTTCATTCAGATTTTCTTAACAAATAACACTTAAGGTTATTTGGAACAAAGGTCTTGTTTCAAGTTCATTTTACTTTCTGTTAATCAAAGTCATAAGTAGTGAGTTAAATTAGCTTTCAATTTAGTCATGAATGACTCACAATATATAAAATACTTAAACCTAAACTTCTTAACAAAACATATCCTCTCAACTTCTAGGATGTGGCCTTAGCTACGTGACTATGGATTTGGCTTTCACTTATTATACACTGAAACAGAATATGGCTAATTACGTGTTCTGGAGCCCTGAGTATTTGTTCTTAGATTACTTTGTGATCAGCTTGGTATTTCTGATGCAAATGAGTTTGCACCAACATTTACCCTTTCCAGCTTTAAACAAAACAACAGGACTCATGAGGACAGAAGCAAAAACTTTTGCAAATGTTAAAGGGATAAAGATTCTGGCAGAGACTTTTAACATGCTTGAGAAGAATATACCTCACTGGACAAGCATGTTTGGTTACAGGAAAAAGATTTTATTATCATTATTATTGTTATTATTATTTCTATTTCTAAAATATTTCATAGATTGTGGGCACACCTTGCTTTAGTATGGAAGAATTATTGGCTATTCCAAAATACAGTTTGATATCTAATTTAATAAGAGGTGAAGACACGCTAACGCTGATTATATTGTCTGAATCTTTTTACAGACAACTTCCTTCACATAGAGATTCCCTCCTTCACGTGAAAGCAAAAATCAAATTCCTTTCATCTGTTGCTTTTCAATTTGGCTTTAGTTTCCTCAAAACCCTTATCAATAGTCTATGTGATACACAATAATGAGTAGTACAGATGTTGGAGAAGTGGAAGGAATTCAGTGACAAACCATTTGAAACATTAAAGAACATTCCTTGAAAGGACAGAATTGCAATGTTGTACCTGTTGATGGAACTGGCCTTTCTCCTCTTGGACTGAATTTCTGAATAGGAGAACTTTGAGTTCAAAGGGACATTATGAAAAATAAATAAATAAATAACTAGATCTGTTACTTAGGGGCTGGTAAAAATGAACAAACAAAAAAATAAATATGTGAAATTGTGTGCAAAATTAATTTCTAACTCACAGACATAATAGCTACAGATGCCCCTCCCCCTCAAAAAAAATTTCAACTGCTGAAACAGCCAGAATAGAATCCAGGTATCCAGCTCTGTTAGTCAGCTCTGTTAGTCCAGCCCTGACAAAGTACTGACAAACTATGACTTAGGAGCAGTGAAGCAAAAAGAAAGAATGTGGAACTGTTAGGAAAGTGACAAGAGGATCAAATATCTATGTACAATGCAAAGGCTCAGTATGACAATCACAATAGCGTGATGAACTATAAAAATGAATTATGCTGACATCCGTACGAATTCTCCAATTCTTTGTAGTTTCTTGAAAAACTAATGTGAAAGTACTAGAAATGAAAGCAGAGGTAAGCTGGATTTTTAATTTTTTATCTATCATTATTAAAAATCTATTGAGGGCTAGATTCTTTATCCAGCTATTTAAAAAATACTGTAAACACCATTGACGGACCAGAAAAAGATCAGTCAAAGCCAGAAGAAAAAGGAAAATTATTTCTTAACTCTATCGGGTTGACATGTAGGTTTACTTTTGCCAAGGTTTTGCAAATTGTGAAGTCTGAAAGCGGATTTCTTTTTCACTGGGATGGCCAAGGGACTTTGGAATGTATTAGCCAGAAACTCAAAGGGACTCCTATGTTTGGTGTGAGTGAAATATAAAATGAATAATAAATACCTAAGCTGTTGCTAACTCATCCAAAAAAATGCCTTAAAATTCTTCTTCTGAAACATTAGACGTTTTATACACAGTCTTTCAGGAAGCTGGAAAATGAATATATCATTTGGGATCACAGATGTATGTCATATAAGCTATGACATCTCAAATTTTTTTAATAGAACTGTCCAGTTCCACGTACAACAACTTAGCAAAAATGAAGAAGAAATGAACAGGACAGCTAAGCCTTTGCTGAGAGCCTATACTGAAGGTGGTTGAGCATCTTCTATCAGGGGCCAGGTTCAGGTCCACTTCTGCCACTGCATCCCTGTCTTCCTCCACAACTGTGCAATACTGAATCCAACTGAAACACTTATTCTCTTGATAAGAGATTTATATACTTTATGCACTTCAGTGGAGCTGTATTGCTTGTGCTGGTGCAGGAAGGTAATAAGAGACAATATTTTAAATGACGGTACAACATAGATAATAGAGAAAAAGGAGATAGTTACAGGAAGGGCAGAGCACATTTTCTGTTAAGCTCTGATTTTAATTAATTTCCATGAACAAGAAATATTAACTGTTAATTAAAGGTCAGTTGCAATAACAGAGTTCTTATATATCTTCCATGGGAATTGTGTCTCATGATTCTTCAAACATGATTCAAGGACTTCTGTAAATCTTTTTTTTTTTTTTTTTTTTTTAAAGAAATGTCTTTTAAGCTGTTTTAGAATTGCTTAATCTATTCATTCTTCTATACTAGCAGAAGACACCACATTTTCCCTTCAGAATGCAGTGCAGAACAGGTGTTCAAGAACTGGAGACATGGATTAAGGGCTCAGTCATCTGCACACAACCAGGAGGTTCAGACTTCATTGCCTTTTAATTAGTGAGATCAAAGGTTTGTGAACAGATATTTCTGGGAATCAGGAAAAATGGCAAGAGCCTGTAGAATAAATTTGTTCCTCCATATTTTAAATACTTTGAAAACTCATTTATTTCAGGAGCTGTCAAACTCTCACTATCTTTTATTTCTTTTTAACTTACCATAGAATTACTTTCTTCAATTTATATATGTAATATTCATATATATGTATAATTAAATACATATATATATTTGTGGGGGAAAAAACTAAATACATTTTGCATAGAAGACATAATGTGATCCTGCATCACAAATATGTATGCATTAAGTCATATCCACCACTGGACTGTGATTAGAGCTGGCTAAAGTATTTGAATGTATTTAAAATACTGTTTAAGATGTAAAGAGGACTTGGAAATATAACTGCTGGAAATCTGCTATTTCAAAAATAGAAAGTGGCTATTTTGTAGTATTTCATCCAAACTTACACAATATAACAATTGGATGCTTACCTGTCCTGATGATAGTATGATTAAGCGTAGTGAAATTACAGTAAACTTTGAATCTCACTGCACTCCAGAAGGAATTCTGAGCAATTGCTGATTTTTTGTGCTTCAAAAGTCCTAAAAGGAGAAATTTCATCTAACTAAATTGATCGTTGTTTATGATTTCTGCGAGACAAGAATAAAGCACTGAAATCAGTAGGGAAAAAAAAAAAAAAAAAAAAAAAAAAAAAAAAAAAAAAAAGGCCACTGGGGTAAAATAGAATGGCACAAAAAGGAAATTCTGAAATTCTTGCACTTATAAAGGAATCTCCTTTTTTATTCGCCTCATCATTGATAACAATGTCATTCTTAATTCTGACATGATCTGATCATCTTGCTATGTTGTAAAAATATCAATATGGGTTGAAGAGACAGCTTGTGATCATACTAACTGTGCTGCAAAATTAAAGTATTGAATTAATCAGCCAAATTATCAAAATTTCAGCATGAACACGTGTGGAAAATAGTAATATCTCAGGTAAAATTAACCCAAACTTTCTGGAGTACTGTTTAAGCACTCCACTGTCAGAAGTTACAAGAGAAAAGAGCTCAGCTCACTTTCTGAGAATGTCATCATTCTTTAATGCTCAGACGAAATTCCCCTAATGAACAAAAGAGGAAGGTGGTTTCACACCGAGTCTCTGGTGATAATTCAACTGAAACTACTGGTGCTGAATCTTCTGACTGGAGAAAATCACTATCATTCCCAGAGGCCAAATCTGCCTAGAACTAGCACAGAGGGTTGGCACTTGGCACCTGTGCTTATTGTGAAGTGTCAGAATCATACAGCACATGCTGGTAGTGGCCATCTGTTACTTACATTGATATCCCAGTGAAGGTCAGTGTGGGAACAGCCCTGGTTTTCAGCCCTGT